AATCATTCGAACGCCAATATTAATAGGAAATAATTTCAATTCGAGCAGTGAAATACGCCGCTAAATACAGAATTTGTGTTAGTAAAAAGTATATATTTGGAATATTTTTTTTTTTTGCTAAAAGTCTTAAATTACTAACAGCTGCGATGGCCACACGGCGTATGAGTAACATTTATGCGGAACTATAGTACATATATGTATGTATGTACTTACGCCTGTGTATTTATAATTATTTTAAACATATTTGTTAACATAATAATTATAGCTATTTTAATGTTCGCTTGCAAGATCAATAAACAATTTGTGGCTATATTGAAATACTGTGCACAGCTTGAAACCGAATGCGATTATTCTGCAAATAAACAAAAAAAAAAAAAACATTTTTCATAAAAGCACCATGCAAGCCATTAAACTCGTTTTATTTGGTTTTGCTTTCATTTGAGGCTTCGTGCGTTTGTGCGTGCGTACGGTAAATTTATTTATATCGAACTATGTGCATTATAGTTAGGCGTGCAAAATGCATAAAAACACATAAACATATGTATGTATGTATGTATGAATGTTTGTAGATAAATGCGCACAGCAGGCATATAAGAAAAGGTGTGTATGACAGCTTTTGAATATCTGAGGCTTACTTAGAACTTTGCTTCTTGCCAATTTGCTTTGCTCGAGTTATTGAACGTGGGAGCATTTTGCACAGATTGTGGGCTACTATTAAACAAATATAAGATACAAGAAAACAAAAACACAAAAACGATATTTTTTGATTATTTTTCTTGATGTTATTGCTACGATTGTTGCATGCATTCTGAATATATGCGATAATTTGCTGCAATTCACGCTTCAAAAGTTGCATATCGAGTTGCCAATTTCTTGGCTAGAATAGTGTGTGCATGCGTGTATGTTTATGTCTATGTTTGTATAGTTGTACATACATATATGCATGCTTGCCTTTTTGTTCACTTGCCAAACCTATTTGCATTCGATTTTGTTTGTTTCTGTGTTTTTTTTTTCAAAAAGGAGTTGAGAGCGGATTACCTAAATTAGCTGCTGATATCTATTTGCTTGCTTGTTTGTTTGTATGTATGTAGTACAACATTTTACAATTTCATGATTGATAAATGGTTGGTCGAATCAAACAAGTAGCAAAAGACAGTACCATGAATGATTGAAGTTAATTAGATTTAATCAGTGCATTTGAATGTGTGTTTGTAGTTATTTACATATAAGTATGTTGTTAGTGAATTAGTAATGTCGTGCCCAATATTTATTATTATGGTTTTAAACATATTTTAATTAGGAAAACTTGTATTGGACTATCGATAGAGTGACAGTTATTAATATGTGTACATGCATACCTACGGTGACCATCCGTCCTTTATTATACGGGACAGTCCTCTTTTTTCGTCAATTGTCCTGGTAATTTATTGAAATGAAACTTCTTACACGAGTTCGGATATGGTTGCGTTAAATATTTAACACCAAGTCATAAAATCTGTATTGTTCGTTCGATTTTAAAAGATGAGGTGTCAAATGAAAGATGAAGATAAAGATGAAGATGAAGATGAAGATGAAGAGGAAGATGAAGATGAAGATGAAGATGAAGATGAAGATGAAGATGTTTGTATTGTAACTAAAATCCGGAATGTCCGGTCAAAAAACCAGACATCTGGCAAACCTGTGTATGAGGGATTCTATCGTCAACATGACAAACTCCAAATAAGAAGGCTACCATGAGAATGTTGTAAAAGAAAACGGAAGTTCTCAAAGACGGAATTGAAGTGGAACCCTTCTAAGGTACTCTTTACAATTCAGCTCGTTTCGCATGCTATTCACTGCATTGCGCTTGGCCGAAATCTTCGTCTAAAAATAATCCTTTGAATGTCACTCGGGCTTCAAAAGTAGTTGGGATATTTTGATCATGCTTCCCTGCCTTGGAAAGTTAGTAACAAATTTTGCGGGGTGAAAACCCCGAGCACAAAGTACAAAGATATGGCAAAAAATATTTTATAAATGTGTGATGTTACAACTGAATTTTTAGGTGCTGTTTTCACAACAGAACGAAAAACATAAGCCAAATAAAGATGCCGTTGCGGCGCTAAAAAATCTAGGATTATTGAAAGATCCTCTAGCTTTTGTGGAAAAAAATTGGCAAAATTATTTTCTGTCTCGTATTCGGCTGCCATTAATATGGTCACCGTATGCATACCTACATACATAGTATATACTCTACTATCACTTTTTTTCTTGTGCAAGCAAACGTCAAGCTTTTTCGCATTTTTGCGCAGTTGCGTAAAGCAATTAGCCAATCTTGTACGAGTATCTGCAAATATTTCTGTAATATTTAGAATTATGAATTTTTCCCACACAGCTTTTGTCAAAAGCCGATTGTTGCATTTTCTTTTATTTATTAAATAATTTTTGTTTTTGTTAAAAAAAAAATAAAATAAATACTCAGCTACGCTGCTGCGGCTCGTGCAATTAGCCTGAGGTTGCTGATCTATAAAAATGACCTTGAAACAACGCACAAAACTAATGCTTTTAATTTATTTATATGCATGCTTGTGTGTGTATTAAATATTGTCACACTGTTCTTACATATTTTTATGTGCTTTTATTTTCTTGTATTTACTCGTATCTGAGCTGTTATGTGAACAATGTTCTCAGTAGTCTAGAGGCTTTAATATTTTTTCTCATTTAATTTTTTAAACGCAAAAAGTAGTGCGAATAACTTATGGCACTTTATAGTATTTAGCGAAAATTTAATTTTTGTTCTACACTGCAATTGTGAAATGTTTATTGCAGCTGCTTAGGCGGCAAACATAAAATTATTGACTCGTTTTTTTAGTTATTATAAGTATTTAACAAGAATGACGTATCCATTGAGGTATTTGATATTCGAGGGTTTGGACTTAGTTGCAGTTAATGCTTCCTTATGCCATTGTCCATCTCTTGATTTGCCGGAGTAAGGCAAACATAGACACTCCTCCGTGAGTGGTTCTAACGCCGGTGATGTGATGCCCATACGCTAAGTCTAAGATCTAAATATCTAAATATCTAGGTTTTTTTTAGGAAAGTAAATTGACGTGGTTGTTGAATGTGAAAGAGCGAGCTAAGAAAGCCTCAAATGCATTATAAATTGCCAGGAAAACGTTCACTAAGCGAAATAGCAATATGAGTGAGTTAGCTGGTCGATATGCTATGCAACAACGAGACAAACTTATCATTGGAATGCACGCCGCACAGTGTGTAAAATGAACTTTTTTCGTGACAAAATCTAATATCTCGAGAACGATAACAGATAGCGAAGTAAAGTTAACAGTAAAGAAAAATATATCTTTGGATAAAAAAATTACCTCGACCTTTAAAATTACCTTTAACAATTGGTGGTTTAATTTTTTGAGCTGAAGACGGTATCCGATGAGCCTTTTAAAGGTTTTTTTCTTAAACTTTTTGGAATCAGTTTCTAAGGTCACGGGAAAACGCTTTCTAGTTTTTTCTGTGTAAGTTCATTTCATGCAATTTTTAGGAAAAAAAAAGACGAAAATCAAACATCGAAAGTAATTTTGTAGGTCTTATTTAATAAAAAAACACTCACCCTGACTCTGAAAACGACCATCAAATCGCGTTGATTTTTGAGAATTTTTTTTTGGACGCCACTTTTTGGGATTTTTTAATATAACAAGCGTAATTTACAAAAACTTGCGTTGATATTTTGAAATTTTGTTGCTATATGAAAAAAAGTGTAAATAATCGTCACAAAAAAAAATCTCTAAAATCAACGCGTTTTTTTAGCCGTTTGAAACTTGCACTTCGTTAGTCTTAAATTGTATGAGCCATAAAACTGCATACCCAAAAATTTTCTAAAAATCCTGAATAAAAAGTAGAAATTTTGATGAGGATTTGTTAAATTTTCCTAAATTTTGTATAAAGTTTAAAACTGTGATTACCGTGTGAATTTGGTTGAAGTTTAGACGATATTTTTATATAAAAATGGACAAAAAAAAATTAGCTCGAAAAAATTTACGAATGTTTGAAGAAAATCAACACGCGATCATTTGTTTGAATCACTGTACATCGTAACCTCCGAAACTATCTATCTCACACTTTAATGGAAAGCCGAAGTAATTACGCACATTTTGATTACTTAACTGATTTTTTCGACAAATAGTGTATGTTTGTGCGTTCAAAATTTCGGAAATTTTTTTCCGAGATTTTCGAATATCATGAAGAAGTAGGTGTCTGCTTTTTTTCTATAAAGAATGTAAAAAAATCTTTCACACCGAAAAAAAAAAATTGAGGTGTAAATTTAGTATGGAATGACCCATATATAACTTTAATATACAATATGGCTATAAAATGAAGTTGAGCATCAGAGAATGTAAAGTCCTTTCCTAGTCCTGCTATATTCATTAGGGTGGTACAAAAAAAAGTAAGAATTTAAGACTCTCACGCCAAGGATTATTTTACAGCGAAAAAATACACCCCTGTTTTTTTTAATCAAAAAATATTTAGATGCTTCTATATTAGGGTGATACAAAAAGCCATGTGAAAAAGTAAAAGGGCATCATTTTAAAGGAGGATTCCAGTTTCTTATTTGAGCAAAATTTAAAAAATATCAAAAAGGTCGAAATTGGAAAAACAAAAAAAAATTCCAAAAAAATGTTTAAAACTTTCTTAATTTTTTTTTCATTTGAGCAAAACTACAAAAAAAAAATCAAATAGGTCGAAATTGGAAAGACAAAAAAAAAGTTTTTACCAAAATTTTTTTTTTAATTTCTTAATTTTTTTTCAAGAATTACCGAAAAATCGTATATAATACAATTATTTGTTTTCTCTTAAACCGATAATTATACGAATATTTGCACCAAAAAGGCAAAATTTTTAACCACTGCACCCCGGCAACCACTCAATATTTCGTACCCCGCTTTTGCACAATTTATGCTATTATATAGTTGAACATCTTCAACAAATGTAATCAATTATAGTATAAAGTGCATAGATTTTGTTTTTTATTAAAATTATTTTAAAATAAGTACACAACTACATTAATATTTGCGACAATTTTCAAAATATTTGCTAAAATAAATAAATATACAAATAAAGATCCATATAAAGTAATACCGGACTGCTGCTTAGGTCTCCATACAAATTATAAACGCTCATACATATTTGCGCCAATAAATACTTACAAACGTACGAAAGCATACTCGCAATCAACTAACTATCGTACATACATACAAATTAGTAAAATTTAAATGGTACGATAACGCTGATGGCGATAATTGTCCGTGCTGTAATGATTGGCGTACATGGGTAAAATATGCTTTCGATCGAGCCTGACCATCGACTGAACCAATTGGGCCGAAGCTGCATTTTGCTCATCGCCAGTATGATTTGGAAAAACTACTGGACCCGGCGCATCTTTGTGATTGAATTTCTTTGTTTTGCGCTGAAAGTAATTGATGTAGTCTGGACGATTTTGTGGTGCAGACGCTTTGAAATTCGTCTGATATTTGTATTGTGGCGGTGGTGCTGAGTGATGCTTGTAATTAGGTGTGGTGAAGCTGTACTTCTTGCCAGGCGGTATATTATTTATACTAGGATCGATATAGGAGCCATGATTGCGTTGATGCAGAGGCGCTGATGCAATAAATTCATTGCGCAGCCCACCACCGTTATTCAGAGCATTCTGAGCTATATTTGCAATGGATTGTTTTGTTGGAATGTAATTGTCTGCGCTTTTATAACTATTTATATGGACACCATATATCGGCTGATATTCGGAATTTTGATCCAATACAAGCGCTTTCCATTCATTCTCCTGATTACTGTACGAATCTGTTTCAGGATGTGGCACTTTCTTGAAATTTTGCTTTTGATAATACTCATCACGTGCGGTCTGCAGCCGTTCACGCATACCTGGTTCCAGTTCCATTGGCACTTGCTTTATGCGCGCATGCGGTTTGAACTCAATGAGGCTGGGAATTTTCGGGTGGGCGTGCGTTAGATCTTCAATTGGATTTTTGAGCGGTTTAATGTCTGAGCTCAGCACTATGTGCTCCTGATCTTTGCTATAGTGATTGATTTTGGATTGCGATGTGTCGTCGTTGATGCCATTTTCACTGTGCGGCGATTCGGTGACGGGATGTGAATTGGCGCCGACGGTCTTCACCACAGCATTGAAGCCATGCTTAGCATCGGCAGTGTAGTGAACTGTACGTATCGAGCCATCTGGCTCGAGAATGCTATAGTGTCCCTTTATAGTATCGCCGTCGCGTGACTCCCACTGGGATTTGACATCTCCAGTGTGCAGATCTTTGACACCATAACTGAATGCATATTCTGGATGTTGCTGAAAAAAAATAAAAGAAAATAACTAATAAGCGAGCTGCTGTAAAAATATAGAGCGTAGTTGTAGTACAGCTTGAAAAGTGGGGGACAAATTTTACAGTTAAAGTAACTAGGCAAAATCTGCGCGGTAGAGGTTTAGAAGACACGCTCTGAAAGGCAAGCTCGTCGTAAAAGGCCTAAGGGACCGCATGCTGAAGGTAAGTGGTCTTGCCTCTTCACTCTTCTTCAGAGCCGTAGCCACTTCCCTGCAGGGAAACCGCGGACTAGTGAATCAAATTTCTAGTTCCGTACTAGGTCTTTGTCGCCAAAAAGGAACTAGTCCGAAAGGAACTAGATAGTTTTTTCAGTTTTTTTTCACTAGAAATCTATATCTAAAGTGACGAATTTAGAAATGGTTCGGAACTATCGAATAAGGGATGCGCGGGGGGTTTGTTTACTTTACATAGATATGTGTTTGGCGGCTTTTTCGTTCAAATACGCTTCTATTCTATGCTTCGCAAATGCTTTTTCATAGCTTGGTAATACAAAACTAAAATTTGTGTTAACATTTCAACATTTTGGGACCGTCTGGAATCTAAGAAATAACAGCGGGCATCTCTGCAAACTCAGCTACGGCCAAAGGTGTGTAACGTACATTTGTTACAGTAATTCAAACAAATTTAATTTCAAATTGAAAACATATTTCTTCCAAAATAACTTAAAATCGCACACACGGAAGAACCAAAAAGATCGAAAAATCATGATCCTTTTTTCTATCGTCTGTCGATTTTAGAACTGGTTCGGAACTATAGAATTTAGGACTAGTTCGGAACTATCGAAAAAGGGATGCAGCGGGGGCAATTGACACTTCCTAGGACATCGCCATGTTAAATTCGCCAGTTTCTTGCATGCAAAAGAGATTTATCGCGAACCAGTACTGGGTCTAAATGTACTAGAAGCGCACCAGTTCAGAACTAGAGATTTTCCTCACAGGGTTACAATAGGTACAAATGAGTTGGGAAAGAAGTTATTCGTCATCGACCCTTGAGTGATTTGCCAGAAGAGAAATAAAAGGAGTCGGAAGCAGGCAGCGAAATTGGCCCTTTTGGGATTCAGGAGCACCGAAATCGACTGGTGGGAGTTGCAAGGGAAGGATTCCGGTGGCTTTGTCCCTTACTACCTCTCTTTCTCTTGACACGAGACGATGAGACGCGAAAGATACATAGATTGGATTTAAGGTTGATGAAGATGCTGACTGTGTTTCAGCGTGGATAATTAGGGCTCTTTTGCAGGATAAGAAGAAGAGACGATTGTTACTGAAACTGCTGCCTTTTATGTGAGTTTGGATAAGGCTGATTCGTTTCTTTTACACCTTATTCGCGCTCCTGTTCTCGGTACAAAAAGTGAGACTCCTTCAGTTTGTTTGGTGCTTATATCTCTGCGAGTCGAAAGAAATAAGAAAGCCATTCCTTGTGGAAGGTCCCAGTACGTTAAAAAAGCGCTCTAAAAAGAAAATACCAAATTGAGGGAACTGCACTGGCGAAAAACCACGGGGACCGACCGGGTATTTCTCGGTCCGCAACCACTATAATACCCACACTTTCGGCCATAGAAACCACTGCCGGGAAGTGGCTTTCTTTGAGCAGATAGATTGCGGACAACTTGTGGGTTTGCTGAGCAGATTTGAGCAGGGTTGTGGTGGCGGAGCAATTCTGTACCGCCTTTGCAAGGATTAGGTATGCGGCTTTTGGCAGCGATTTGCTGACAGACATAAAACTGAGCTATCTTAAATCCAAAAATCTGATTCGACGTAAACTGTGTAAATTTATAACAGTGAAACTTTTATACTTTTTGGCTGTACATACAAGTGCATAGTAACCTGCTGTCATATTCTCTCATTATTAATTTTATTTGGACATGTGGGCTTGTCAGCTGTCTCGGAGTTTTGTCTAGTTTAGTTGACAGATAAAATCATAAATCATTTTACGCTCACAGTGGGCTTGATTTATGAAAGATTGACATTCCAGAGTTACTGTCACTGAATTTTGACAACAGGTAGTACACCTTTGAGTGCGTAACCCGCTTATGACAGATGACAAAGACTAATTCAAATTTTAATAAATGCTTGTATATTTGAATATGTTTTTCGCTTATGATGCATGCTACTGAATTGTTAAGCAAAAAAAAAAAAGCACTTCAACCTCGTTTGACGTTTTGAAGAGACTTGCAAAACATAGAGTAAAATAAAATAATATAATTTATATGTATACAAAAAAAAATTCATTAGTCAAATTAAATTTTTAAGTAAGAAAATTGAATGATTATTAATCAATTATTTAAACTCACATATTCTGGCGCATATTTCATCATTTCACTCTCTGTTTCATCAATATTGGCTTCAGTGTCAGAATCTCCGTTAATCATGCATATACAACTTAACAATGGCATCAGAGTTATCCATATCGTGTGAGGCTAAATAAAAGATATAGATAAAATAAATATTATTTTAAAACTTCGCAATTATTAGTTTTAATTCGCTGTGGTTGTAAAGCCAGTGTCACACGATTACCCAAAATTTGGTGCAAATCGTATCCCTGTCGTGTGAACGCACAAATATCTTTTTTTTATCACAATCACGAAAAACAATTTGTTAAAATTTTTATTATGAAATTAATATTTTTATTATATTAAGTATGTCTATTATCATTGCATTAAACTCTCATCAGGGATTCCAGTTGTGGCTGTTGCTCCCCAGAGAATCTCTTTATAGTAGGCGTTCTTCTCAGTATGACTCAGTATGGTGAATTGAGATCCTGAGTCACTTCAACACACCATTTAAATGCAGCCTTGGAATAATTAAACAGTGACGCGAGCTAATCATTTAAACAAATTTTACAAAGGGAAAACCGCCAATTTCCGTTAAGTAACTGTTAGAAAGCCGACTATTTTGAGGAACTATATACATTAGTCATTTGAAAAATAAGACCGATGCGAGACAAGATATTTTGACCTATTTTGACTATTTTTCTTTTCTTTGTTTTATCTTTCAACTGCAGCATTTTATTTAACATAACCCATCTGCATCTAAATTTTTAGTAAAAAAGTTGTATAGCCCATTAAATTCTAACTCAATAAAGTGCAAGCTTTAAGTGGTTAAAAATTCGGGTTGATTTTTGATAATTTTTTTTTTTTGCTGAAGATGTCACGCATTTTCTTCCATACAATGTATGTTCGGCCATTTATTTTTTGTATGGGAGAAAATAATAACACCAGCGGCAAGAAAGTTATCACAAATCAACGCGAATTCTCAAACACTTAAAACTAGCATTTTGTGAAAAATATTTACAGCCTAGGTTTTTCTAATTGGCTTTGAGAACTATTTCTAACTATTTACTATTTGCATATTTATTCGAAATTATCAGTGAAAAAAATGTATGGGTGCATCAGGCGTTTTCGTAATTTTATGATTTCACCTTAAATTGATACATATTTGACAAGAATTTTTAGAAAGAGCCCTATGCTACAATATATTTATCAAAAACAATTGGAAACACAAGGATATATTCGCAATGAGCGGAAAAAAATTACCTAAATACAAATACTCGCTTTCTTCCCTTGATTAAAAAAAAAATATTTTTTATTAATTTAGTTCCTGTCTTTTAAAAATGCGTGTTAAGTTTTTATGCTTTCACAAAATTAGATTATTTGCTCAGTGCATCGGCACCGCAGTATATGTAGTAGGTTACCAACCCTGCAGGAAATGGGACTAGTTTGTAGCTAACTATTAACTAACTAGTAGTCGACTAGTGGTAACTATTTATTAACTATTTCCTTTGACCGTAACTAACTACTTTTGAAGGGCGATGGCCACAAAATAGATGTAAAAAAAAGATTTAAATTTTGTATATTTTTTTTTAATTAATTATTTTATTTAACATTACAAATTTGCTTATTTGTTTACATGTTCCTTTGTAGGGGGTCTTATCTTTGAAATCGATAAGACACAACATCAAAACGATAATATAAAATTTCGAACTTTATTTTATTTGTCTTTAATACGAAAAATAATCTGCGAAGTGCAGAAAAAAGGTGTACTGAAAATAATTTTTGTTTGGGGATATTTAAATAGAAACTTGTTAAGAAAACAAACTCCCGATAACGTCTGCATGACTCCTGCATGACTTTACAACTAACTTTAAGTAAGTTTTTTCATAGCTAATTAAAAGTCAGTTGTTTATGGAGATCCCGCAAAAAAACTAAATAGAAGTTGGTTATTTTAATCAATTGATATTTTTTTCTGTAGGTAATTTTGCATGGAATTTCCACAAAAAAAATGTTAATTTTGAAAAAATTTACTTGGTATTTTTGAAACAATTTTCTAAACGAAAAACTGGGAAGCCACAGTTTTTTCTTAAACGTGACTATTAACTAGATTTGTTTACTTCTCTAGCGGTATTTGGAGTGGTGGGGACTTTTGATATATGTATTGATTAGAACTACTAAAGAAAATTCCACGCATAAATCCAAATTTCCCCTAATTATTCCGAAGTGAAATGCTTGTAAAATAAATATTTCTAAAATATGTACATAAATGTCTTTTTAACCGAAATTTTTTATCCGTTTGAAACTTGCACTTAATTCGAGCAAAATTGTATGGGCTCTAGAACTGCATACCCAAAACTTTTTTTAATAATCAGATTGAAAAGATGAAATTTTGAAGAAAATTTGTTGAAGTTTCCTAAACTTGAACTTGTTGAATATTCTTAAGATTGAAATTGTGATTTGCATGGTTTTGGTTAAAGTTTGGACAACATTTTTAAAGAGAAATAAATAATAGCAAAAATATTTAACTCGAAAAACATCGTGAATATTAAAAACAAAATTTAACACGTGGTCATTTGTTTGAGTCAATGTATTTCCTTAGTGCTTTGATTTTGAATCTTATTGGTTACCATTTACCATCAAATGATTTTTCTTCAATTTAGCAAAAATGTTTAGCAAAAAACAGCAAAAAAAAATTCTTAAAAATGATTCGACTACTAGGCCATTTCAATTCGACTGGAACTAAGTTAGAGTGCCGTTTCTTTTCAAATATGATTTTAGGTAGCTGTGAAAGCCATTTTTATTTTGTTAATTGCGATTTATGTATGTATATTTGTATGTTTAACAGATTAGCACTGAAAAAATATTTTATACATTTTTTTTTGTAACTTTAAGATGCCATCTCTTAAGACATGCCCCTATGCTCCATACCGACTGTGGTCAATAAGTAAATTTTCAAAAAGCTTTTCTTCATGCAGTTTTATCGCAATGAACATGAAAATTTAAAGATATGTACATAAGGGTGACTCATTAACAAAGAGAATGTTTTTCCAAAGCAATGTAATAATGTATATAAAATCCATTATAGTTTTAAACTTCCCCCAAAAAAAATTCCGAAGAATATTAAGATTTACGTGGGCTGGACCGATTTTCAGAAAATCCCACTATTCTAATTCCGCTGATAATGTATTTGTATTTAAACAGTTTTATGCAGACCGCTTAAACTTAAACTTTTTTATCATCTGATTTAATGTTTTGGAAAATTAATTTTTTTAAACTAATTTAAAAGAAACTATATTTTTCTGAAGATTTACGTGAGCTGGACCGATTTGAAAATACTTCCAAAAATGTAGATAACTGTTTAAATTCCGTTGATAATATGTTCGAACATTTTTATGCAGACCTCTTAAACTTAAACTTTTTTAATGTTTAACTAATGTTTAATGTTAACTAATTTAATGTTTTGGAAAATTATTATTTTTTAAACCAATTAAAAAAACTATATATTTTTCCGAAATATTTTGGCAGAAGACTTACACCCAAATTCATAAAAAAAAGACCTTAACTGCTTTATAAATCGAAACATTTTATGAAAATATAACTTTATAGAACTCTTAAAAACAATTTTATATTTTATGAATGTGACCAATAAATTATAATAAATTTTATAATTCCGATGGAAAAACAGTACCGCATTTTCTTTGTATGGAGAGTGATGCACCCTAATGTGCATATATTCCTGATATCGATTACCATTAATAAAAATAAAAGGATTTTTTTTCCAAAAGAATATTCTGAACTCCATGTAACTATTAGCATACATACATATGTATGTATGTATAAAATTTTCAGCGAGAAGATTTAAGCATTCGCCCTGTAGTATATCTCATACTATCTCGTAAGCATATGTTGACCACGCTATAAAAGCTTGAAATCTACAGGAAATTTTTTGTAAAAATCGCTTTGTAATGCTTATCTCATTTCGTTCATAAGTTTCCATTTGTGTCAAATAAAATGCTACATTTGGTCACTGTGCATCATTTGATGTTTGAATTTTACAAAATTTAATGCATCACCTAAGAAATATTTTGTAATTGTAACATTAAACTGTTTTGTTTTGTAAGTTTTGGATGAACATATTTTCTTTCTTGCTAAGAATATTTCCTCACCTGAAATGAAAAAAGTCATAACTAATAAAAAATTCAAATTTCACGTTTTGTATTATATGATGGATTTCATTTCAAATATTAGTCACGACTTTTTCAATTTCCGTTGCAATGTTGTTACGTCTTTTTGCATTTCAGGTGACGATTTGTAGATCTAGCCAAAACTTTTAGATAATTAACCGTAACGTCGTACGCTGGAGTGTAATTGATGCTGCCAGTAAAATAACTTAACTTAAATATTAAACATTTACTTTTTTTATTGTTTTTGTTTTAACACAGAAACTTGTACATAATAGAAATGTGTTATTATTTCTTAATCAGTTCTTTTTTAATATCATTTAGGGTTTTTACGAGTATTGCACAGAAAAGGACTTCAAATGGTTGCATTTGATCTTTCTTTAATAAACTTGTTTCAACTTTCACTTTCTACACAGAGAAAGTTTTTATCAAATGCTTTTCACTTTCTATTGATATTTATATATATATATATATATTTCATATGCGGCAATAAAGCCAACAAAAACATGTGCACTCACAACAAATTTCATTATCGGTTATTTAACAGCCAAATTCTTTTTAAAAACACTTTCGATTCTGCAACAAATTATCGCAATTAGAAATTTTCACTATAGCTGCACACAATGTAAATATTTAGCGCTTTTCCAAATTCACGTTACATATGCATATATATATATTTATACATATGGATATGTAGTTAATTAAATGCAATTGCATTTGCGTGTATTTTGTGCAACATGTGCTTAAGTCAAGGACAGATTTGCAATAAAGTTGCTGCCTGCCATGCCATCGCTATTTATATGCACATACATGTATGTAGTTATTTTATATGTAATACCCATCCATTTGTACATAAGCGCTACACAAGCATACATACATGCCTTATATGGATGGTTGTATGTATGAATGTGCACACTTTGATGACGTCGATGTGTGGGCAGCTTTGCGAACGCATCAGTTTCATCTTCCCAGCCGGCTCAACTACTTTCGGTTGGTTTGTTTTGCTACTAATTTTCACTGGATTTTCCGGATTTTCTTGTGCACATCACCATTACACTGGATCAGTTTACTCATTTTCTCTGTGTAAACTTGTAGTTGGTTTTTTTTTGTGTTGTTTAAATCGATAATTTTAGCTGCGCTTTTGATATTAATTTCTAAAATATTCCATAATAAAATCTCAAAAATATCTAAGTTTATGTGTATGTATTTAAAAACACATAAATTTTTTCAAATACAATTTTTTATTTTCCTTTGCAGGCGCGTATACATAAACAAGTGCAACCATTTCAAATGGAACTCGAATGGTAAATTTCTAATGGGTTGCTGCAAATGCATCATTGTTGCAATTTGTGTATGTAAGTATGCATGTATTTGTGTAGAGATCAAGAAAAAGAGGAAGATTTGCAATGTCAATGTTTCAAAAAAAAAAGTTCATTACAAAAGAGTTTGCTCCACCAACGAACGAATTCCACTCCAATTGATCTTCAAACACCATACATATGTACATACATACATATGCATTAGAGCTTGGCAATATTATACAGTGCATTTCGCGTACGTATTGTTTTCTTTTTATTTATTTCTTTTGATGTGATCATGAAAATTGCAACTTTGGCGATGAATGTTAGTTGTGTGCCACAAACGTACAATCAACCTCATTGCCAAGCAAAGAAAACGTGTTTCGTCGGCGGCGCTTTGGGTGCGATCAAAGTGAACTGTGCTGTCGCTATCTATAACAATTTTTTCTAAAGGATTTTCTGCTAACAATGCGCTTGAGCTAGAAATGATTAAGTCAACTGTAGCTAGTGCTGTAATGTATTTTTATTTAGGTAAACAAAAAGTGTTTGGTTAAGAATTAATAAATTTTTAATAAGTTTTAATTTTCCTAAATCAGTAAGTCGGTGTTTAAAGTTACAGGGTGGTGCGTCAGGTATTTGAGAACCTATAGACTTTGAAACTTGAATTCGTTAATTTCTTAGAAAATACATATTTGTATTTATTCAATAAAATCCCATCAGTGGTAATAACAGCTCAAATCCAGGGACCGTTACAGTTACAACTTTTTCTAAAAAAAATCACTCTTTAACAATTATATTTTTGACTTTTATTTAATTACTCCTTAATTACAGTTTTTTTTTTTTATTTTTATTTTATAAATCCAAAATAACAATTATTTTTTATTTTTATCTAAATAATCTGCAAATAAGTTATTTTTGATTTTTAAATTATATATTTTAGATAACAGTTACTAAAGACTGTTTTTAATAAAGTCATCAATATAAATCAGTCACTGACTTTTATTTTTAAAATCATACTTATAAAAGTCATTTGTATAAGTCGTAGTAAACTTTGGTTCTCCAGCACCTACTTAACTGCGAAAAATGATAATGTCTCTTATACATACATATGATTAAGAAATAACTGTCGGTCACTGATCTTTATTGATGACTTTTATAAATAAAAGTCTTCAATAACTGTTATCTAAGACATATAATATAAAAATAACTGTTATTTACAGATTATTTAGATAAAAATCAAAAATAATTGTTATTTGAGATTTATAAAATAAAAATTAAAAATAATTGTTATTTTTTTTTAATTTTGCATAAAAGTTACAAATAAAAATTTATTTTCAAATGTGATTACCGGTGAAAAAAGAAATCGATTGGTATGTATTACTTAGTTGTAGAACAATTTCTTTATAGTGAATTTTTCAATGACAATTTTCATCAAGTAAAATAAGCTCGACATCTTCGTTTGTATGGGAGAAAACCCCGCACTATCAGCAAAAAAAAATAATAATTAAAAATTAACGATATTTTCCAGCGTCTTGAAAATTGCACTTTACCTACCTACTACCTAATGAACTACAAAACTGCATACCCAAAATTTTTCTAAAAATTCTGAATAAAAAGCTTAAAATTTTTGGTTGTGATATTTAAAGTTTGTTGAGTTTTTATACGAAATTTAAAATGTGGGCTTACGTGGTGCTGGTTATGTAATGTGCTAGAATTTTATAAAAAAATATTAACGCTAAATAAACAAAAGAAAAATAGCCCAAATTGGGAAAAATGACACTTAACTTAATCAGCTGTCCACAAGGTACAAGGTACCTATCTGCCTCTCTAAGCTTGACAGAAGACTTACTTTTCCGAATAAATGAGGATTTACAAGCTATTTCTCTGTGGTCGAAAAACAACAGGCTTAACCGTAAAGCAGCCAAAATGCAGGAAATTTAACTGTCGTTTTTTTACTTACAATCTTGATTATGTTTCTCAAATAAATTTTGTTCATGCGCTTTATGGAAAAAATGCGCAACACCCTTCACAAACAAAAAAAATCTAAAAAATCAACGATAATTTTTTGCGACTTGAAACTTGCACTTTATTAGACCAGAACTGAATGGGTTACAAAAATGCGTACCCGAAAATTTTCTAAAGATTCTAATTAAAAAGTTTGAATTTTTGATGACAATTATTGGAAGTTTGATTAACTTTTGTGAAATTTGTGCAAGTTTTAAAACTGTGCAAATTTTTTTATGCAGTTTCTGTTATAGTACATAGAAATATATTTTAAATGAAAATTATTAACAATAAATAAATAAACATAATTTGCACACAATATAATTTTTTAAATTTTTTGCTAAATCTCTGACCATAGCTGTATCTTAAACGTAAATTTGACCACAGCTCCGAGTTTTCGACAAATATTCTTAAGTGCAGCATATCTAAATTCCTTGATAGACGTTAGGTGGTATGTATGTATGTATAAAAATAATCTACACCCGCCGCCCAAAGTATCACTTTTCGAAACTGACGTTTGCACAGTCTACTCGTACATGCAATCTTATCGTACCTTATTTTAAATATTCAGTTACATCAAGAAAGTTTTTCTTTAGAGCCATACAGTTGTGGAATTTTTTGCTAAGAAAATTTAAATTTAAAACTTTTCCGAGTCGCTGAAAACTGGCTGTGTATGCTTTCTGCTCAACTGAAACTTTCTATCTACACCATCTAATTAAAATTTTCTTTCTTACTTTACTATTTATTTCTCGAACTGAAAATATTTGATTTATTCAAAAAATAGTTTAACAATTGATTAGAATCGTAAAATTAATGACAGGCTTGATTAATAGCCCGGCCCTCCTGGCTGAGGTAAATTTTAATGTTCCTTCTCGAGTGTCAAGACACTTTCGACCTCTATTTTTAAAGCCATGCAAAACTAATTTTGAACTAAACGAATCATTCCGTGGTTTATGTCAAGATTTTAACTGTCATTCCAGCACGTTTGACGTATCGGACTCGATTTTTACTATAAAGAAAACTATTATTTCCACTCTCAATAATTGAAATACTATCTTTAGCATAT